TGACATAATTATAGCTGGCTGTCAGCTGGGTAATTACGTGTAGTAATTCTATATAACACAAGTTGCTGATAGACTAAGTTGATAAATAGTTGTCTCTGCACCTCTAACTAATTGTTGAATCATCTTGGGGTTGTATTTCTTGCTGGATACAAGAATTATTCGATCCTTGTTAATGTTTACATGCACTGTAGTACAGTACCGCACAAAAGTAAACATCAATACACATGACAATTGTAACTCCTTCATATCTCAGGAATAATCATTAACTATCATTATTCCTATTAATGTTGCATTATATATTTCAACAATATCAACAATGAATAAATCAATAAACAACTATTACTGTCACAATGGATTCATAACAATATGACGAAATATTTTGAGAAACGGGGAACACAAAAATTATTTTTGCATGGCTGATGACGGAAATCTTATGTAGGTATATCTTATTTCGCTTATGTAGCTTACGTGTGACGTCATAGTTGGTTTTTCCCGTACATGACACGTTTTCCTCTTTAACGATGTCCTGTGAAATAATGAGGTCAGCTTCATCATTCGAAACTTTTACAGTTAATCAATAATTTGAAGGATTTGCATTTCAACGTAAATTAAAAAATATTGAATGATAGAATTTTTTGTAAATTACGTTTTTTATTGTTTAAGTTGTCTTAAAAAGTGCGTAATTTTCCCTATCCAGGTGCAGTGTGATAGAAAAAACTTGCTTTTTCGAATTTTAAATCCTAGGTATACTCTGAAATATTTAAAAGATACATGTCCACTTTGATATTTTTTATGTATGCTTAAAAAATCCCATTATGGACAGAGTAATGCGCCCGGAAACATGGAGAATTAAAACTCCACTTAGATACTGTAGGGCGTAGTATTTGTCAATCAATATCTCCAAAATAAGGTTAGAAACCTAATGATATAACTGCTTTAAGATATGTGGGACATACTTAATTAGAAATATACAAAATATGAAAAAAATTGAATGACAAATATTTTTTCAGCTCAAGGTCCTTCTCCTCCTTAAATAATTCTTGCTTTTATGCGCATATCAAGAACACACATACCGAATGAAAATGAAAAACGAAATACTAGATAGTCCTGTTTGGAATTAACATCCATTTTTGTAATCAAAATTCAAATCCAATCAGAATTATCAAACAAAGAAAAACATTATGAGAAATATAATCACGACTGCAATAAGGAAGAATAAAATAACAAAGAAAATAAGTGGACAATTGTTATTCCTGATTCTCTTTTGTTCTGAGGTTGGTGTCATTGCTAAAGTATATACCTGAAACGATAAAAAACATAAAAAAGTCACTGAAAGCACTTTTTTCAAAGGTATTTACGGATGAAAAATATAATTATTCAACATTAAAATTTTTATTATGTTAAGGTCAAGATCTAGCAAATGAGTTTAGACTTTCTTCTTGGTGCTAGATTCATGATGACGTCATAATTGATTTAACCTTAATTTTTCCCGTACTTTACGGCTTCAATAGAATTATGTAGAAAATAAAGCACTTTCATGGAATTAAATTTGAAATCATGCCAAATGTAACACCGATACCCTGATTCCGTTTAATATCATTGTAAAGTAGAGATCAAGAAGATATGAAAAACCGTTTTCTGAGAGACTGTAGGCAATATTGATACATTTCCTTTGTCTGAGATGGAAAAAACTCCCATTTTTATACCAGACTTTCTTCATTTTTCATTGAAAATGGACAGTTTATAATATGTTTTTTCCGATGAGTTTACCCCAAAATTATGTCCGGATACACCCTATTCTACCAACCTATATTCGTAAAGGATCATTAAAAGAATGTGTATCTCAAATTTGAGAAATCTGTGGGCACCTTTCATTCACAAGATCTTGACCTCAAGTTACCATTGTTAAAAAATTGAAATTTGTAGGCAGTGGGTGGATACAATGGAAGTTTGATATTTCTTTACCGGTTTATTCTCTTGGGGGCCAAGCAATGGCATTGTTTCTTCTTCTTCTTTTTTCGTTGTTTTATTAATTTCTATGGCAACCTTTTTCTCAGTTTTTGCAACATCGTCATGGAAAACAGATGAGCTATTTGAATTCAGTGACTCGTTGGAAGCAGATTTGGACAGATCTGATGATGAATTCTGTTATTCGAAATAAATATCTTTGAAATTTTTGAAAAGAAAAAAATCTCTCTGATGAACAAAATTTCCATTTCATTTTTTTTTTTTACATTTCTTGACAGTAATATAAAAGTAGCTTTTGAAAAAAAGATTTGAAATATTATTTTTAAAATCTTCCTTCATTAAAATTTGGTCCAATAAAAGTTCCCAATTACTACCTTAAACTGGCTACAGGACTCCGTTCCAGTTTTTGAAGAATCCGTTGCTGGTTTACATTCAACTATAAAGCTATCCATTTCCTTCTCTTCATTCTTTACTGAACCAATGTCTTCTTCATTTTTAAACTGCTATATGTAAACAACACTCTCATATTATTTCCTAAGAATTGTATCTTAGTATAAAAAATGTCTAAAATTCAACATATATACATGTATTAATGGAACAAATAACTCTTGTTTGTATTTTTTTAATCAACTACTTAAGTAATATAAAATAGGTGAAATCACTACTTCTGGGGGGTTAAAATTTCGTTGTTTTCGGAGATCCATGAATTTATGCCTAGCACGAAATGTACTTTTTCAGATACATGTACATTGTATATTACTACTCAACAATTCTTAATCCACGAAACCAAATCCCCACGAACCCGTATTTTGTCCTCAAACCACGAAAATCTGACCTCACGAAATATGTGATTTTACACTAGTATTATATAACGTAAACATTATAATGATATAACATTTTCATACATTAATTAAAACACAGTCAGTACAAATATATGACATCATTATATATTAAAAACCATTAAAACTGGATACATATAGCAGCTTAAAATACCAAATTGCAAAACATCGCATTATTCTTGGCCAATTGCATACTTCTCGCGTATTTCTCATTTGCATTTGTAACATATATTGTATTTTCCAGTGTTGCGATATGATTATGCGGTTATTGATGAGTGAATTTTAAAGAATCTTAAGTTGCTTTATATGATAGAAGGAAAGACGAGAATAGTTTTCACCGGATCCAAGGCAGCATCTGTTGTATCTTTCGCAATCTCTTCAATGGCTGGTTGATTAGTGGACGCTGAATGTTTGCGTTGTTCCTTTTCTACTATTGTACTGATGTCTTCATGTTCTAAATCAGTGAGGAAAACTGCATGTCTGTTTCCTCTCGTCCTCTGAGGTAGAGAAATTAAAACGCTATAATGCTATCCATTTATTTTGATTTACTAGTATACTGCATAAAACACCGATTTCTAAGCAAGTCTACAATCTACACATGAACTAACATATTATAGTGTCTTACCAGTTCTCGTCTTTTATTCTGAAAAGAGACGCATGATTTTTCAAGTCAAATTAACGGTCTTGGCATTTCTTCTTAAAATTTACTTTATGGTAAATCTCATCTCAAGATCTTCAAAAGCAAAAATCGAAGAATATATATATATATAGAGAGAGAGAGAGAGAGAGAGAGAGAGAGAGAAAGAGAGAGAGAGCCTAGCATTTCAAAACTTCCCTTACTGATTAAACATAAAGTAAAATAATAAATTATCCAGAGTAAATTGTTTCACTACAATTTGCTATTTTATTTTATTTTATTTTTTTTAAAAGCTTGATCTAAAAAATAGTTTTCATTTTACAGACATGTATTATTGGTCTGTATGTCATATATGTTTTACGGATGATAATACAGGTTGCCATGAGAAAGCTATTCTAACTAGTTTAGCGGTGTTAAAGGCACCTGGACATGCTTGCATTACCATTTTTATTTACAATTTTAAATTTCTGTTTTAATTTTTTTAAAAAAAATAGCCTTTTTTAATGAATTGAACTTACACAAAAAGTCTTAAATTTCAAAGACAAAAACATTCTTCATAACATCACGTCAAACACCTGTGTTTATTAACAGGGCACGAGCTCTTTTAGTGTTTATGTTTACGTGTTTAATTTGTTAATCTGCACACAATACTGGTGAGTTGGTTTTGCTTTCTCACCTTTCTACTCTGAATTTTCTGGATTAGAATTTTAAATATTTTTTTTCATTAATACACAACAAATTTTCCACTTTTCTTGAATATTAAAGATAAAATTTGCTTCGTGAAAGTGCAAGTATGTGTGTCAGTCAAACGCGTCCCGAAATTCATAGGTTTAATAATTTCCAGATTAAAAGAAGTTTCTAAACACGAATTTAAATATTTTTGTGTGAAATGCTCTAGCAACATATGTCATTATATTATACTGTAAATTTTAGAAAATACTAACTTCAAATTTGTGTCCAGGTCCCTTTAATGGATTGAGTAAAAGAAGTGGTTTTCATAAAAATAAAGAAAATATTCAGTGGGTGTAAATACACAGAGATTGACGTTTTGAACAAATATAAACAAAGAGAAGCATATACCAAGGTTAATATGTCATTGTTCTTTCTTCTTTTATGAAGGATTTCACTCAGAAGAAAGTTTGGAAACGGCCTTTGTCAAATGAATATCAAACTATTTGTTCTCTTATATCATATAATTATAAAACATCCTTACCATCATTGCTCTTTAACATAAATTCATCTTGAATTACAAATTTTCCGTTTTCAATCATGACATTCCATGTCAACATAATCACAACAACGTTAACAGACCTTTTGAACATTTGTACAGTTGTCCACCTAATCATAGATGATTATATCCTAGCATATCCTGCCCATTTTCCTTTTCGTAAGCTCGATTGAGCTCCTGTTGGGAAATACTTTTAATTTACATGTATATCGTACTGTAACAGTGGATTGTTTATCTAAAAATCGTATGTGTGAAGAACATTCAATACTGCATTTTTCATAAAATGCACCTTTGTTTTATTTTCTACATCATTTATTAATAAAATAAATTTCAACAAACATTAAATGGATACAAGAATTGGAGTTTACAGTAAAATCACATTTATTAGTTGTCATGGGATGCTTGATCTGTCATATCTGGGTAAGTGTTCAGTTGGTTACTTTATAATAATTTTGAATGCAAGCACGAAGATCTTTTACAGTGTGTCTTAAAACTCCTGTTTTAAACGTCAAAACTGACGTCTTTATAATCTTTTACCATTTCGCTCTGATCATCTAAGATACATCTATAATAAATAATCAATGCTTTATCAATTGCTCCTAAAGAAGTAATAAACCTTTTGATACATTTAAAAAAAATTTACATCTCATGATAGATGTTTATTGTACCTATAATGTAACTCTCTGAATATTACAGAAATCGGATGTAAATACTTAGTATTGTCTATTTTTAAAAATCCTCTTGAAACCTCTTACTAAACCAAAGTAAGATGCGACATGATCCTGGTGTATCAAGTCGATTTCATACTTCTGTACATTCTCAGTTTTCACCAGAAAATACTCCACTTGCTCCTAGGACAATCAGAATTATGACAAGGACAATCACTATAATGACACCAGCTAATATTATTGTCATCTTGCGGTTCCGCCATAATTCTTTCCTCTTTATCTTATTAGTAGTCCTCTGAAAGTTTTGTGCCTGTGAACAAATTGTGCAACTTTAAACCAGTGTTTCATTACACAATTAAATGCTTTATTTTATTGTTAGTATATGAAATAATGTTGCAGCTATAGTAGAATTAATGCATACCCCACGTAAGCCAGTTATATACATGTATTTTTCTGCAATAGCTGCAACGTTAATATCCCACACTATCAAACAAAGACAAACATTTTATTGTTTATACATGTCTTTATGTTTGTATAATCATATAAAGCAGGATTAAGTACGTTAAATATTTTATAATTGATATGTACGTCATTGTATGTTTCATTGATCATGTTGATGGAAGAGCCACTATACTCAAGAAATCTACAAGTGGCTTGCTTAGAGGCACTGAAGTATTGATAAACGACCGTGTTTTTTCTAAATAAATAAAGAAGATAATATTCAGTGGATGTAAATATTGCACAATGACATTAAAAGTTATCAACATATAGAGTAAACTAGTTATAATTTTATACCAATATATCATCAATTATAGATATTTACAAAATTTTGTGTAAGAAGAAGACTAAGATTTAGTACTTGTGTCTGATTCTTATGACTTTTTTCTTTTGATAAAATATGTTCAACTTATTATAGATGAAAAATGTTAAAATAACGAACAGTGGTCGATAAAATACCTTGACCTCATTTTCCCCATCAAAATTCTTAAAAGCACATCAAAACAAGTATCAAGACAAAATTAGTAATCAGCACCCATTAATAAAAAGGAACTCACAGTCTGCTCTAGGCCTTCTGCCCTGCCTTGTAAATCCTCTATCTTATCCCCTCTTTCCAAAACTTTCCCTATATTGTCCTTCATCACAACCTTTACATCATCGACTTGTCGATTTAAGTCATGTACTCTGGGATTATCTTCCATAATTACTCTTTTTATATGTTCCAATGTGTTGCTCATAAACTTTCCAGATTCTCTAAGTCAGAAGTGTGTGTATCTGAAATCAAATGTTGACTTCATTCGAATTACAATAGACCTTATAGAGGACAAGTGAGATAGATCATCATGCAATGCCCTTCGGTTTAGGTTTCATCCATGAAAGATCTTAAAATATAACAGCAGACATTTAAACCTATCTTTAAATTTATTTTTAAGCTCAAGTATTAGGACGGAAATTCATAAAAAAGATAATATGATACACATTAAAATGGAGTATCTTTCTCACTTCCTGTTCATACGTGTTGTTGTGAAATGATCAAAAGTCTTTTACAAACTTAACCTTGTCATTTATAGTATACATGCATCTTAAGGATGCTCTGAACACTGCTCACAGAAGAGTTCTAAATCTATGGCAGTTTTATGCAGTTTATTCCCTTTGATGTAATATTGAATAAATGGAAATCTAGTGTAAATGACATAATTTGAAATAGATTAAAGTATTCTTAACATTTTATTAGTCCAAGGTAAAGTTATTGAATACACTATTTGCATGTTTTCTCACAAATGTAAGTAAACAGTGATTTCTGTACTAATAATTCATTGTCTTCCAACATTTTTTCCTGGAGAAAAATGCCAGATATCTTATGTTGAAAATGAACGAGATAAACTCAATATGTATATTCATCATATGATAAAAATTTCCAAAAGTCTATGAAAACATTTTTTCATCAGTGTTTAGAGCGTCCTTAAAATTGGCTTACCTTTACTCTAAAACACTGACATCACCACTTTCTTTCCAACAAACTTCCTTATTTACAGTCATGTATCTATCTACAAATTTTATCGTGAAAACAAGTCATATCAACTGTAACAATATATGAATATCAGCTGACATAAAAATGGAATTCTTATCTCTGCCTCACAGTTAAGTCATATATAATGATTGCTTTTAGGAAGTTAAATGTCTCATTGTACTCTAGAGAAGAAATCTATATATGATTATGATTTTTTTCTTGAGAAATTAAATATGAGATTTAAAAAAAAAAGTATTCACCCACAAACAACAACTGTATTTCATACTTGCCTATAGAGTTCTAAGACCTCCAGTAGTTCAAATTCTTACTGCAAATAATTAAAAAAGATAGTGTTCTGTTAAAAATAAGAAATCTGTGTTATTTATAGAAACTATATACTTGTACAGAGAAGCACCAGAAAGAGTTACTAGTTAACAAAGGGTGGATTTCCTTCCTCTTTTAAGAATTATTAAGACGTCTTCAATTCATATAGTGTTGTAAAAAGATTTTCGATGAGGAAATAACATATTTAAGAAATCCATGTAAGTAACAAGTTTTAAAACTTTACTTTAGTGGGTTGGTCCCTAGCCCGAAGGGCTTCTCAAAAGATCTGATCACATATCAATCCACTTTATTTCCAAGTGAAGTTTTTGAACTTGTTTCTCATATATACATTTGAGACAGATATTCGTATATAAAAATATTGCAGTAACTGCTCATGGTAGATTATGACAAAATGGCGCCAGAGGTAAATCGGCATGGAAAGAGGTAACGCTTTGAATTCGGATGCTGTAGGGTTCTGTTGTGTAAAGAATATTTTGTGAAAGACTTAATTGTAATCAATAATAATGGATACATTGCTGTCTGACTGTTTTTGTGTGCGCAAGATTCGGAGAACCGGTTTTTGATGGATGAAAATACAGAGGAATCACGGTGTTAGGGAGACACCAGGCCACTTTCGCATTAAAGGTTAGAAATCACATGTGATGTACTCAGATTAAACTAAAATATGGAAATATGGGATTTTCCGCAGGCCGTAGTTCCTGTGCTTTAGCTACTTTTTGCGTTCAAAGATTGAGACGGGGTCGTCAATCGTAAAGCAGACCTTCAATTATAACAAGCAGCAGCAGCACACACAACATAAAAGCATTAGGCCTATTAAGAAAAACTATTATCAAATAAAATAATTAAATTATATTTTACATAATCGTCTGCCACATACCTTTGTTTTGTGGTGGTATTTGAAAGATGCCGATCCCGATCTTATTTTTCAGCCCTAACCCACGCCAAATCGTGAGATTGAAAGCATTGTAAGCATTTAATTTCAACAGCATATTTGAAGAAACTTTGGGTGTTTTAAGCTCTGACAGAATGATTTATATACTTTATCTTATAACAGGCCAGAGATATTTTTACAACTCTCTTCGTGAAGGGAAGGAAAATCTTAAGTTTTGCCTCCTTTCTCAGTGATAAGGGTTCTGTCACATTCTGACAGAATATCACTTTGATATTCTTTCACAGTGTGACAGAATACCACTTTGATATTCTTTCACACTGTGAAAGAATATCACTTTTATTCAATAAATAAATTGTATTGTTATACCTTTAAAAATTGTTTTCCTATATAATTCTATACTTAAAAAAGTCTAACATTTCAAATGTTTTACTGAGCGTTCATAAAAAAATCGATGTTTGACCGCAGTTAATTCTGTTATAAGATATTGGACCTGTCGATGAGGTGTTGGACCGCTTACATCACAGTGTGGGCGGGGTCAACTGTATCTTATTTGCATTCGTTGGAGTTCGACAGAACTTTACGGAATTGAACAAGTTTAAACCGCAGTGCGGGTAAACAAATTTTACATCATGTTATGTCAAAGTAAAAAGGTATAACAAAGCATTTATTGACTGGATTCTCGGGCAAAATGCGTTTTGTCGACCCCTCGAACCAAACCGTTTGCTTTCAGCCTAACCGCCTCAGGCAAACAGTTTGGTTATTGGGTCCGACAAAACGCATGTTACCCTCGAACCCAGTCAATTAACATATATATAGTATTTCACTGTTGAAAATGTTATAAAACTTCTTACATGCACACAAGATTTCATGTTATACAGTGCTGACAGTAGGGTGCAGAACTTTATCCTTTGGTGTAATGTAACACTTTAAAGTATTAAGGTGGCTCTACATCAGAGATATACCAGTAAATATCTCAATTCTGATATACTTTGTTTAAAGTGAACAAAGTTGTGGTTTTACTTAAGGATACATACCTACGATTTCAACAAGAGGTAAGAAATCATAGAAAATACGTCTGTGTGCACATACATAACCTTTCTTGAAAGTGATACATGGTCTATAACTCTTCAATTTCTTTTACTATGTGATTAAATTTTAAAATGTAACCCAATGCATGTCATACACCGTCTTTCTCAGGAAAGTTTTCATTTTTTTTTTCAACTGTGCATCGAAATATCGCGACTGACCATCTTTGTAAACAAAAATTTCGTGAATATAATAGAAACACCTCGAATGATAAAACATGAACCTGACGCCTATAGACGAGGTGAAATTTGCGGCACAATCAACTTCATGTTGCATAACAGTGTTCTGCTGAAGCTCACGTGTTGCTTTGCTCCTCGTATCATGCTAAAAGTTATCGAGGACGCCTAAATGCAGTATACTTGACTTTCCTCCCAATTATCTCCCTGAAATCTGAAGTTTAAATATTTTAGCTGTCAAAATCACTGTAATTTTAGCAAAGAAGAAAGTATACAGGTGTACGAATTATTTTTTGCGCAAAGTTACACGTAATATAATTAAAACAGAAACGTTGTTACTTATTAGTCATTTACGAAAGCCTATTAGGATCAATCTATGGAGAAAAAAATTTAAAAGGCGTTATAACGCCTTTCCAAAAGGCGAAATAACGCGAAAAAAGGTACGCCTTTCCAAAAGGCGTTATTACGCCTTTCTAAAAGGCGTTATTACGCCTTTTCAAAAGGCTAGGAGTAATTACGCCTTTTATTTTCAATACATAACTAACTTAGCACACTCCGGGGGCTGGAATCTTACCCTCGGAACAGAATTTCACAATTAAATATGGGGCTAATTTCTTCAAAAATAATTTAAACATATTGTAATTAGATTTCCAGGGGAAAAAAAAGATTTTTAAATGTGTAATATATTTTCAATGTTAAACCAACTTAGTCCTTCTCTGATGCCGGACACCTCTACCAAGGGTCATGAATTTCACAAATTTGATTGAAGGCTAATTGTTCATTATACCCATGCAAATAGTTTGCCTGCTTTTTTCCTAGAGGAGAGAAAAGTATTTTCAAAATTGACGTGAATTTTTAATACATGACAAGCAAAGCCCCAAGCTGCATCTGCCTTTATCCTGAATTTCCACAAGTAGAGTGTTGACCTCTCTTAATACGCATACAAACAGTTGTCTGCGAGATGTGCAGGAATATAGAAAATACTTTTAAATATTGCATAAATAAAAATGGCTTTGATTCAATCTTTCAAGTATTTATTAATATAAAATAACGCATTTCCATTTTTGGATATAACACCTTTTCAAACAGGCCGGTAGTACGTGTGCAGGGGGGGGGGGGAGGGGTTCCCCCACCCCACTTTTTGGGAGAATAGTCTTGCTATAGTTTAAATATAAAAATTCATTTATTGGCTGCTTGGTCCCTGAACATTTTGTTGCAGTATGGTCAAACTCTGGCAAATCATTGCATTTAAAAAAAAGTTTTACCGAAAAGTTATAAAAAAGATCCCCCTCGAGTTTAGGCACTTTAGAAATGGGTGGGTGGGGGAAAGGGGGGGTGTTTCTTGTTTTTTTGTTTGCTTGTCAATTTTTGGGGAGCTTGCTCCCCCCCCCCCTTTTTCAAAAGTGCGGGCCTGTCAAAGGCATAATAATGGCTTGTCAAAGGGCATACTAACGTCTATTGGAAAGGCGTAATAACGCCTTTTGGTAAGGCCTAATAACGCCTTTTGGAAAGGCGTAATAACGCCTTTTGGAAAGCTGTAATTACGCCTTTTGAAAAGGCGTTATAACGCCTTTTAAATTTTTTTTTTCTTCATAGATTGATCCTAATAGGCTTTCGTAAATAGCATGCTTCAGTCAACTTTCATCATATCATTGATTTAATGCAATTCTGAATTTGGAACGAATATTGCAAGGTACACAGACATAGCTGACATTCGCAATTGAGGAATAAATAGTTCTCTTCTTCATCAAATGTCAATGCAGAAGCAGGCACCTAACATTGTTTTTGAAAGGGGGAGGGGCAGCCAGGAAAATAAGACAACTTACCTGAAAAAAAAGCTGACTAGCAAAAAAGGGGGATAAGGGGGGGGGATGTCCAAACTCGAAAATCCAATTTCGGGGGGATAGCTTCCAACTTCTTTCACAACCAAATTTTATTCATACACTTCCGCATTACCCTGATTTGACTTACTGCAACAAAATGTGAGGGGGGAGCCTTTCAATGAACATTTTCAATAGTAAAAGGTAAAGTTTGGAAAAAAAGTGGGAGGGCACCTCCCATACTACGTGCCTGAGAAGTAACGTTATTCCTAAAGAATTTTAACAAGTGGTATAAAACTAATGTAGTGTGCCATTTATCGGTGATTCAGTACAATATCTGTCGGTTATTGTTTAAAAAAAATGATTATAACATTGTGATCAAGTTTCTTGGATATCGGTTTCAGGAGTAAAGTTTGCATATATATAAAATTTACATCTGTAAGTATATGGCGCATGTGAACGGAACTTAATTAGACACTTGAACATTTGTCATTTATAATGTTACATGTAAGAATTAAAAACAAATTATAAAACAATTTTTCTCTAGGGAAAATAAATGAAAAAAACCCCTCTTATAACTACTTATCTCAAGCTTTTAAAAACATATAACGAAGGTGTAGGTTTTTAAGGAGGGATCGTGTATGTTTTTTTTCTTAATCAATTGAAGATGTGCACAGCTATGGATACACAGCGTTTTTAAAATCTCGCGTAATTTATCCATACCGTGAAGAAATTATTAATTAAAGTCTCGGTAATTAAGGGTCGACATCATGCGTCTCATTTGACTTGCCCTGATCGTAATATACACTAAACACTTATACAAAGAATCATTTAACTTAAGTACGAATTTTCAAATCAAAACAAGCTCAAAAATTATGTTTACATGTACAATTGCGTAACTGATTTATCATTTATCTATTTATTTTATTAATTTTACTGTAAAAAAAATAATATCTTTAATCAAAGAATACTTTAAAAGTTGGCTTCCCACACGGCCGGGGCCGTCGCCATGTTTTTGGAAGG